CTTATTGCCGTTTGCAGTTAAAACAATTTGGAATACCTGTGAAAAAGGTCTCAGTGTGCACCAGAGACGACAAAAGAAAACACATTACAGTATAAAGTGTATAACATCGATTGCAGTAAGATGCAGTAAATGATTTATCCAGACACCATTTTTGAAAATACTGTGGGGAATCGTCCCTAAACGGTTCTCATGTGTTTTCAAATAGGAATCTACATGGCCACTTGTCTGTAGCCTCAAAAAATAAATCATAAATATTTTGGAGCAGTCCGATAGAACGAAACCGATGGGGCGCTCACTGGTTAGAACGTCAGTTTTGCTATGACATGTACAGAATAGTGGGATTATAGTCTGAAGGTGGTGCAACATCTGAAATATTCAATGGAAGATTCTTCAACTGTGGAAGATTAGAGCCAAGAGAATAACCAGAAGTAGAATAGTTGTCCATAATTCTTGCTTCTTCGTTTTACTGAAATTAGAGATTTAGATTTTCTTCCTTAGTCTATAGTTATTGTTCATTAATCTTGTGCTCCTAGTTCCAACATTTCTCTAATCTGTGAGGCAACACTGACATTTTGAATAAAGGATCTCTTAATCTATAGGCAAGTCAAGTTTAATTGTATAGCACAATTCATACACAAAGCAACTCAAAGTGCTGAACGATGAGCGGCCCAGTAGAGCAAAACCAATGTTATCCTCGTCATCCCCACTCCACCCCCAAAAATGTGTCTGTATGTATGTGTGAGTATGTATATGTATACATGTGTGTGTGTACGTGTGTGTATATGTGTTTATGTTTGTGTATATGTGAGCGTATTTTTTTTTTCTTCAATTATTATAATGAAATATATTTTATTTATTTTTTTCCCAAACACTGTATTATCTGTATACTGAATGAACTCATGTTTTTTAAATAGTCCGGCCAGCATCAAGACATTTCCTGAGTACTTTCTCAAAATAAAACAACCAATCCAAGTATTTCTCTGCCAACTAGTCAGTTATATAAAATAGTCCTTAATTACAGCCCTAGTACACAGACTACAGGAGTACCTGTTTATAACTTCAAAACAGCAGAAAAAGAAAGTATAGTCGTGGATGCTGATAAAGACCAAAACAATAGCATTATAAAACCTGTCAAAGGCACATGACTTAGTAGTAATCAAGCAGTAAATTAATAAAAAAAAAAACAATATCTTCGCATATCATAAAACGCCGTGAAGTGAAGTGGTGTTATGAATATTTTTATGGCATCCACTCGCCATATTTTTATTTGGTTTATGTGCTTTGTAGCAGTGGGACATAGGTGTTAGGCTAAAAATAAAAGCTAATGTCTTAAACGACCATAAATGGAGCCTCTTGACTTTTCTGGGACAGGGAGAGTGAATGGTGTCGACGAGTGCGAAGCCTGCAGCGTGTGTCTGCGGTCTGGGTCTCATGCAGGTCAGATGAGACACCAACAGAATAACAAGAGCGAGACATAATAATTAACTTTAGCATTTAAACTAACAGTAAAAGGTGAGTGGGCACGTTGAATGGGCTCAAATGTAGGCAAAATGACTTACCCATATCGCGACGCCGTTTTTCACAAATTACAATAACTATACTAATTAAAATGAAATAAAAATCTCTAACTCTAGCATCAAAGAAACACATATAAAGTCTATATCTTTGACATAATAGAGAAGTATAATAGATTTGGCAAAATAAGAAGCAAGTATATTCCAGTGCAAGTAATAAGACTATGAGAAAATAAAGCAACAGTTCTCTAAGACTAAATTAGCAAATGTCAGAATGTACTCAAACTAAAAGTGATAAAAAAAGAATTATGACCTCATATTTTATAATTTTTTGCAGCGCGGTCATGCCTCGAATTAAGTATGCTTACGAATTTTACTTATTTCAACAGTTGTTTTTAATGCTCAAACTCTGAGACCTTGTATTTTTCCATTGGGACAGCTCTCCTCTCCGCAGATGTGGCCTGTAACTTAGCTATTCCACTTTTTTCCATCACACTTTGCAGAACAATGTTGAAATTGTTTGAAAATGTTTTATTATGATTTACACTTTTCTTTTGAAAGGCTATAGCATTTCAGGCAGCTGTGCTTGTTTCAGAACGTTATAAATATACATTGTTAGGTAAAAGACACAGATATATACCACTCTGGTCATGTCATAGGTTGTAACTTGAGCCGCTGAATCAAACAGGGCAGATAAGAGTCAGTGTTACAGGTGGAGACTCTATAATATAATGTAATTACACAAAGTGAATGACCAGATGCTTTCCCATCAGCCCATCCTCCACACCCATCCCTCGGCTAATGGTGTTTAGCGGCATGTTTCAACGACTGGATAGATGCATAGACAATGCAATAACAATAATGCAGATGGAAAACATGCAGATTATAAAAAAGGCTAAAGTTATTGGGAAATGTATTAGGGAAACTATCATTTTCCCACTCTGCAGAACATTAGAGATGAGGATAAAGATATGTATAGTTGTATCATTAAAGGCGCTATACCCGTTTCTGCCAGGTTTGAATGTTTAGCACCGTCCCCCAACTCGCTCAATGGCTTCTGTTTTCCCCTACACTCTCATAACACAGCCATCTAGCTCAATTTGCGATCTGATACATATGCTAACATTAGCATTAGCACAACTTCTTGTAAGCCGTACAACAATCACTGATGAAATGGTACTAAAGCAACAAAAAGCTAACAAAATATATAGGTAAAAGAATACTGCTAGTTTCGCATCTGAATGTATTCATTTAATCATTAGAATATATTCAAATATTTAATTATAATTTATTATACAGCTCCTCACAGCAGGAGTAGAGCATTCCATTGACCTGAATGTAATTCTTCCGATCATTTTTTCTTTATAACAGAACTCTCAAACTAATGATGACCGCTCCCCTTTGACAATGCAATCTCTGTTTGTAATTCAGGTGTGTAAAATACTAGCATTACGCCGCAAGTACAACGAGAGAAGCTAGCGGAGCTAGCCACGCTCAATAAACAACTACATATCTATCAATCAACACTATTAAATGTTAATCGGACAATACAGTATACATATACATCCTTAATACACATGCACAGACTTTTTCAGAATTTCTTGGTATCGTTTTCATGACCAAATTACTATTTTAATATGACAAAAAGCGATACCAGAAGTAACCATCAACATGTACTGTAGTTCCGGGGAGCTAGCTAGCTTAGTTGTTACCTGCCTAGCACGCCCCGGTGAAACCTTCAGGAGCTAACTATTTTATTTGCAGTCATTGAATACATTTCGAATTGTAAGGGCATGTGTAATATTTGTTTGAATAAACATAATTTTTTGATTTTAGAATTATATTCGAATTTCGAAACCGAAGCCCTAGTTTTTAGCAGCGCTGTAGGGGCTAGAGTAGTAGTAGTAGTAGTAGTAATCTTTATTTATATACCGCCTTTTCACTGCAGATCTGAGTCTCAAAGCGGTTTACAATTGTTAATTATGGGCATTTGTCTCTCACTCCACACAGAGATGGGAGCGGGGTCGCCAGTACAGGAGGCACATGCCAGAACTATTGGACATATTTTTAGTGGTAGGGGAAACCGGAGTACCCGGAGGAAACCTACGCAGACACGGGGAGAACATGCAAACTCCACTCAGAAAGGCCCTGGTCCGACCGGGATTCGAACCCAGGACCTTCTTGCTGAGAGGCGAGAGTGCTATCCACTCAGCCACCGTGCCGCCCTAGAGGACGCAGGCTGTTCGCTGCTCGTTCTGTGAGCGGAGGAGAACGAGCGTCCCGCTCAGACTCTACTCAGCACTTTTCACTGCTTGTAATTCTTACACAGCTGAATCAATTACCTCAAGTTTTCAATTAAATTACGGATTATGATACATGTAGTAATAAGCATTTTTATGAACAACTTAGAAAAATAAATCGGATATAGCTTCTTTAAGCTTTTCATAGAATTTGTCCATGAGCATGGGAGAAGGTCATGGGTTTGCAAGATCTCCCCACGTCTGAGTAGGTTTCCTCTGGGTGCTCCGGTTTCCCCCTACCACTAAAAACATGTACAACAGCCTCCCTCCTCTCTGGGTTCAAGCCACACCTGAAAAATATATTTTGAAATCACAATAGGACTTTCGTGGTTAAATACGAATACAGAGACAAGAGAAACCTTTTTGGATTTTTTTCAATGTCCAGTACAAAAACGAATTATACTAGCTTTGATGTCCTGACCATTCAAAAACCATTCAGGAGAGATTCCACACAGTACTTTTTTATTGAAGTCTTGATGTCTCCAAATGAATGTATTCCACAGAAATCCCTCTCCCATTTTTTCAAGCACCTTCAACAACTTTTACAGCACAATTTATCTACTAAGAATAAAATGCCGTACATGGGCTTAGCTCCAAAAAATGGTGCAAAATAAATAGTGATAAATAGAAAATTCAGTAGTTTTTTCAGACAAGGACATTGCACAACAGTTCACTCAAGAACAACAACTAAAAAGTCCAAAAAAATGGCTTCTTTCTGGAATACACAATCATTCTTGCTTCGTTGACTTATTTACATTGGATGTGCCATATTTCGAGTAAAAACCACATTGAAATTTCCCCACTGTGGGACAAATAAAGGATCTCTAAATCTCTTAATCACTCACTATAAGCCATTTTCAGGGACAGCTGGAGAAAAACATCACTAAACAAACGCACCTTTATTAAAATGCTTGATGCAGTCATTTCCCAGAGCCCCATCCTTGCACACTCACACACTCACACACTCACTCTCTCACTATACCGCTAATCTGATTGGTCCGTACTATCTCCCCCCTCTCTCCTTTGACTGGCCAATGGATACGATGACACATCCCAGGTTGTGGGTGGCACTATATAAGCCCAGACGCTGCTGCATTTCTCTCAAAGCGGAATCTTTCTGTCTCTCTCTCTCTCTTTCTCTCATCACTGGAACCACTTCTATAAACGGAAAATAAAACAACACTCAATGCTCATTATGTGCAAAGGACTAGCCACGTTTTCCACCTGCTGCCTGGAAAGGTATATACTTGCACTTTCTTCAGCATTTTGAATGGAAACGTTTGGATTTTTATCAATGTTGTGTTGTGAGGACCATGATTTGATATATGGCTGTATAGATGTGTCATGCATCTTGACTATGGCTCGAAGTTTCAGAAATTAAATGTGGTTATTTTCTTTGTTTTTAGGGCGAAGGAGCTGAGAGCAAGGTTGGGGGGCTTTCTGCAAAAACCCGATTGGAATTTTACCTGCTGCAAAATTGGCAAGCACAAGTAAGTAATAAACGTCATTCTCTTTATTTTTATGCATTCATAACTTGTTGCATGAGCGTTTTTTGTAAAAGCAAGCAGTGTTTTGGATTAGAATACCGAAGGAAGCAAAAGCATACGTGGCTCGCATGAGAATATTATTCGGCTATTTTGGGCAGTGTGTCTATATTTAACTTGCTGCGTAGTGCATCCGAATTCATTCAAAAGCATAAACATTGGGGTCCACATTCATACTCTTTAAATGCAGGAATCGGATGTATTAAAAACCCTGCACAATAGCGGTTTATGAAATGTAATCATTCAGAAACCTTGCAATCGTAGTTTCTGCACCATTTATTTGCTGCAACATGTATTTTCTGGATAAAAAATAAAAACAAAAACAAATCTAATATATTTTTCCCTTTTTTTTCTTTTTCCAGGCCAACTTTGGAAGAATGCCTCAGGTGGAAGGAGTCTTTTGAGAGGCTGCTTTCTTGTAAATGTAAGTAAACATTTCCAGTCATGAGCCCACGCTTCTGCAGTGCTGAGGCGCGAGCGAGACTGTGACTAACCAACTGTTAAAAAAAACTAGACCCGGGACTCAATGAGAATTTAAAACAGGATTATGCAGGTTCTATGGCAAATGAATGAATGTAAATTTAGATCTTCACCAACCTACAACAGTGAATATTGATAAAATATATATATATATATACACAAACACTGGTCTGAAAGTACACAAACACTGGTCACTGATTATCTGACTCTTTTTCACTTTGTATGAAAACAGATACATTTGCTTTAAACCAGAACCAATACAATAATGAATTGCAAAGAGTCTGACCCATAAGAAGAAACAAAATATGCAAGAAATTAGGTCTATTCAAGTCTTCCTTCAAATAGTGCAAAGGACTCCACGATCTCCAAAATCAATAGTAAAACACAAAAAGAAACTAAACATATCATAGACTTAACTGGCTAAACCAGAATATAGCATTGAATAAGTACAACTTAATTAACAAAAAAACAAATAATAACAATATTGTAATTATCAAATTGTCTTATACCAGGACTCTTAGTAAAGACAAAACCACTGCAGAATACTCCATATTTTATATATGCCTGAGACAAAACTGTGCATTTACCCTGAGTCTGACAGCATTTCTCCCATTTCTGTTTTGCAGATGGACTGTGCGCTTTCACCGCTTTTCTGGTTTCCGAGTTCAGCGAAGAGAACATAGCCTTTTACTTCATCTGTGAGGAGTATCGCCAAACCAAGGTCCTGAGCAAACTGCCCTCGAAGGCCCAAAAGATCTACGAGGAGTTCATCTGCTCAGACGCCCCAAGAGAGGTAAATATCTGCCGTGCTTCTACTGTAATAGATACTACTGTAATAGTACAAATGTGTGGTAACTATAGTAACAAGTATCAAGGAATTTAGAAAAGTTTACATCCACAAAGTCTTATTGCCCCAAGTGGACTAGAATTGGCCCAGTTAAAATGAACCAGACCAAGAAATCCCAAGGAATATAATCGGTATGATTTCTAGACAATTATTTTAGCAAAGTAATAAAGTATATTACAGTTAAACAGGTAAATTAGATAGATTTACATAATTATGCTAGGGCAAGAAGCTATAAAAAGAGGAAACAAGCATACAAATAAAAAAATATGTGCTTGTGTAAATGAATCTTGTGCTATAACTTACCAAAAATATTAATTTGTATTGGAATTTCTTTTTTCCAGATAAACATCGACCATGAAACCCGTGACATCACCCGAGACAACATGGCCTCTCCTTCGTTGTCTTGCTTTGACTTGGCTCAGCACAAAATCTACCTGCTCATGGCCAAAGACTGCTACCCACGTTTCCTCCGCTCCCAGGCTTACAGGGACCTCCTGCACCAGGCCAAGTCCCCCAAGAGCCTCCAGAGACCCCAGAAGAAAGCCTGAACTGTCTCTCCGACGAATGAGACCGTATATGCTTAAATAAAAAACCTGCTGCCTTTTGAGAGTGTACAGAAGGTACGGCGACAAATGCGAGCTTGCACCGTGAAGCTAACATGCTAACGTGCTAAGCGGAAACGCAGATTGGGCAGGAGTGAACTTGCCTGATTGGTTTGAGGGTGGATCTCCCGGGAAGTTTGGGAGATTTCTGCGAAGGCAAAACAGGCTGCGGAAAAAGATGGAGACTTGGGAGAAATTGATTGACAATCAATGTGTATAAATGGAAATGGACACTTTTTGAAGCACTTTTAGTTGTTGTTCTTGAGTGAACTGTTGTGCAATGTCCTTGTCTGAAAAAACTACTGAATTTTCTATTTATCACTATTAATTTTGCACTATTGTGTTTTTGTTTGTGTTTTGTGTCTGTTTTTTTACAAAAGATGTGCAATATTTGATCCAATAAATGAAATGTTATTTATACAATGTCAACTTTTGTACGTGAATAAAATATGATTGCAAAATAACAGTTTACATGGTTGTGACTGCTTCACTGAATCAATAATGCATCAGTAAAAAAAGAAGTGCTTCTCTGAACACTAAAAGACGCTTCACTATGGATTTTTATTCATTCCTACTACTACTATTCTAGTCACAGCTGCCTTGGGACAGACTGATGTCCCAGACTTCCAAAAAGCTACACACAATTCGTAAAAATAAAACTATTTCATCTACCATTTATAGGTACAGTTACTCTTTCTGAAATGAAGGACAAAAGAACTGACGCTTTCATCATTTTCAAAGCTTTTCAGTGTCTGTACAGTTTTTGCCATATTTTACATTATATTTTTCCCCATCCCTTATTTTCAGTTGGATTTCATATGGATGTGAAAATAATCGTTTTGTTCTCCAATCAAAATAGTCCATTATTGATACAATTGGGAAGCACTCTTGTATCTTAGCAAGAAAGTCCTGGGTTAAAATCCCAGGGTCTTCCTGAGTGGAGTTTGCTTATTCTACCTGTGTCTGTATAGGTTTTATTCAGGTGCTCTTCTGTCCCCTAACACTAAAAACATGCACAGTAGGTAAAATCCTGGAGATGGGTCCCCTGGTGCTGTACTATTACGGCTCCTATCAGAGTCCCTAGTTGCAGGATGGGTCAAAAGCAGAGTATCGTATCGATAACGTTTACATTGAAAAGTTGTTTTTTTATTGATAGTGCACAAAAGGAGTGGGCTGAAGCTAAACTCTTATGAACATCCCCACCCCAATAACAATTACAATTACAATCAAACGTTTCATATCACAATGAACATACAGATCAAGGACACAAAGGATGTGCAAACTACAAATGCACATCCTTGATTATAGAATAATCAACCAATTAAACAGAAAAAAATAGATCATACAATTAGCCATGACTTAATGAGATTTGCCAATGAAGGTATCATCAATTCAATAGCCATGGGAAGAACCATTGTCAGAACAATTATGTTTTTGAAGCCTTTTAAACCAGGAACATTCCCAAGAATAATATAATCAGTGTTCTTTTACATAAGTCTTCTTTTACATACTGACCTTATGCAAAAGAAAATTAAAAAGTGTTGAATTTAAAACCGCAGTGAAGCTAGTTTAACCTTGAGCCATAGTAACAGTATTTTGTTTTTGTTTTCATCTTACATAACAGCTAATGCACAGGTTGCTATGTATGCTAGTTCAATAGATCTGCAGTTGACGTGATCCCATTATTGATTTGAACGTGTGCTTGGTCAAATATCACCCATTTTATCACAGTGCATATGACTACAGAGCTCTAGTTACTGTATGTAGCTGAAACATCTCCATGGAGACAGTAAAGAAACCATTCACCAACAGTGAGCTAAAAGATATTTTTCAAAACATTTCCCTCAAAGTTGGCCTGTATGTACTGTGGATGACATGGCAGCTATAATAATATACATTAGTTTTCTGTGCCACCTGCTCCCATCTCAGTCCTTCAGCCTGAATTGAATATGCAATTTTGACCGGAATTTCAACTTGAACACATGCTGATGTAACTTTACCCAACATTATGCAACTACAAAAAACAATTTTGAGTGCGAAATAAATTGCATTTTCAAATAGAGTGATTGATTGTTCTCACTGAACCTTAATAGTATTATTATTATGTGTTCTGTGGAGCTCTAGAGGTAATGGTATTGACAGATACCTTAATTAGTCCCATTGTGGGGAAATGACATACATTGTTTATTGACAAAGTTTCTCAGTTATGCAGCAAAAGCAGAAATTGGGAGAAAATGGGAGACATGGTTCTCAGTGGGCATACTGAGTCCTCCTTCTACACACCTGTGCTCAGCAGCATCACTTCACGGCTGCATTTAAACGCCATCACTTCCTTCGTCACCAGGGCTTAGGCCTGCGGGGTTTAGGCCTGCGGGGTTTAGGCCTGCGGGGTTTAGGCCTGCGGGGTTTAGGCCTGCGGGGTTTAGGCCTGCGGGGTTTAGGCTTGCGGGGTTTAGGCCTGTGGGGTTTGCAAGCTCATAATCTCTATTATATTCCCTCAAAGCGGCCGCCCGATCTTCTCCAGAATGCACCTACGGCCAGTTTGCACCTGATGACAACCTGCACTGGATGCAGCTTGGACGCATGTGAGGAGAGAGAGACAGCGGTGCTGCTGTAATAGATTTTATTTGGAAAATCAACACAATTGAGACTTGTGAGTCCCACAATCACAAGTCAAAGTCAAGTCTGAGTCTTGAAGGACTTGCAAGTCGAGTCTTAAGGGTGCAAGTCAAGTCCAACTCATGAGACTGTGCAACAGAGGTTAAAGAGAGTCCAAGGACAGTTATAATTTCACAGGAAAATACATCAGGCCTTTTTCCATTGTTTTGGTACCGTCAAAATTCATAACGTCTTGATGTCACCAGGCAAATCTGCAAATACAGTATTATTGTCATCATTCCAATTACATTGTGTTACGTTGGGGAGTAACGGAATACATTTACAATATTTATTACACGGCTCCTCACAGCAGCAGTAGAACGCTCCGTTGATTTGAATGTAATTTCAAAACATTCTACCGGTCATTATTTTTTATAACGGACCTCTCAAAACAATAATGGCCGCTGCCCATGGCAACGCACTCTCTGCTTGTGTTTCAAATGCGTGGCTAGTTCCGGCCACTCCGGAGCTAGCCACGCTCAATCAACGCAAATACCAATCAATCAACACAATTAAATGTTAATCGGAGAATACTTATACATATACATTCTTCACACACGTGCACGGAGATTTTCAGAATTTACTGCTCTTGTCTCTGGATGTTGTAGGACTGTCTTGGCTGACACGTCTCTGCAGCATCGCGTGGCGATCGGGGGCAGTGCCAATGGAGTGGCAGACCGGGGTGGTGGTCCCTCTCTACAAGAAGGGGGACCGGAGGGTGTGACCGGAGGCTACGGCCGATGGTCGAATCTCGGATCCAGGAGGGGCAGTGTGGTTTTCGTCCCGGTCGCGGAACACTGGACCAGCTCTATACTCTCCATCGGATACTCGAGGGTTCATGGGAGTTCGCCCAACCTGTCCACATGTGCTTTGTGGATTTGGAGAAGGCGTTCGACTGTGTTCCCCGGGGTGTCCTTTGGGGGGTTCTCCGGGAGTACGGGGTCGGAGGTCCTCTGCTGAGGGCCATCCGATCCCTGTATGACCGGAGCCAGAGCTGTGTTCGCATTGCCGGCAGTAAGTCAGACCTGTTCCCGGTGCATGTTGGCCTCCGACAGGGCTGCCCTTTGTCACCGGTTCTGTTCACTGTATTTATGGACAGAATATCTAGGCGCAGCCAGGGGTCGGAGGGGGTCCGGTTCGGAGACCACAGGATTTCATCTCTGCTGTTTGCGGACGATGTTGTCCTGTTGGCTCCAACGAACCAGGACCTGCAGCATGCACTGGGACGGTTTGCAGCCGAGTGTGAAGCGGCTGGGATGAGAATCAGCACCTCCAAATCCGAGGCCATGGTGCTCGACCGGAAAAAGGTGCCTTGCCCTCTTCAGGTGGGTGGAGAGGTCCTTCCTCAAGTGGAGGAGTTCAAGTATCTCGGGGTCTTGTTCACGAGTGAGGGAAGAATGGAGCGTGAGATTGACAGGCGGATCGGTGCAGCGTGCGCAGTGATGATGCGGTCGCTGTATCGGACCGTTGTGGTAAAGAGGGAGCTGAGCCGAAAGGCAAAGCTCTCGATTTACCGGTCAATCTTCGTTCCCTCCCTCACCTATGGTCATGAGCTTTGGGTAATGACCGAAAGAACGAGATCGCGGATACAAGCGGTCGAAATGAGCTTCCTCCGCAGAGTGGCTGGGCGCTCCCTTAGAGATAGGGTGAGGAGCTCAGTCACACGGGAGGAGCTCGGAGTAGAGCCGCTGCTTCTCCACGTCGAGAGGAACCAGTTGAGGTGGCTCGGGCATCTGTTCCGGATGCCTCCTGGACGCCTCCCTGGGGAGGTGTTCCGGGCACGTCCCACCGGGAGGAGGCCCGGTGGAAGACCTAGGACATGCTGGAGGGAATATGTCTCTCAGCTGGCCTGGGAACGCCTTGGGGTCCCCCCGGACGAGCTGGAGGAAGTGTGTGTGGATAGGGAAGTCTGGGCGTCTCTGCTTAGACTGCTGCCCCCGCGACCCGGCAACGGATAAAGCGGAAGAAAATGGATGGATGGATGGATGGATACTGCTCTTGTCTTCATGACAAAAATACTATATATCTGCGTCAAAAAGCGATCATGAAAAACCCGGAAGTAGTTCCAGTCACTCCGGAGCTTTTCACGCTCATTAAACGCAAATGCCAATCAATCAACGCAATAAAATGTTAATCGGAGTACATTATACAAATACATTATTAATACAAGTGCACAGAAGTTTTCAGAATTTTCCGTTTACGTTTTCATGACAAAAACACTGATGTAATGCAAGAAAAGGCGATCCCGAAAAACCTGGAAGTAGATACCGGCACATTTTAAGAACATT